TAATTTAATAAATTAATGTGAATGATGTTATAAATTTTGGCAGAAAAAGGTTCCTCAACCCTGCTCTACAGGATCACTATGAGTCGGGAACTGACTCAATGGCACTTGTCACAGGAGCTCGGGTCGCACAGTGGTTAAAATGCTTGGCTCCTAAAAAAAGATCTGCAGTTTGAGAACCCACCAGGCACTCCATGTGGGAGAAAGATGTAGCAGTGTGTTTCTGTACAGCTGTATACCCTTCAAAGTTCTATAGGGTAGTTCTACTTTGTCTTACAAGGTTGCTATGAATCGGAATTGACTGGACAGCAATGGGTTTGGTTTTCAACCAGTTTACATACTCTTAGGAGTCCAGCTGGCACAATGTTAAGCATCAAGTTGCTAACCAGAGTTTGAACCTACCCAGCTGCTCCACAGGAGAACAAACTTAACAATCTGCTCCCATAAAGATTTCAACCTAGGAAACCCTATGGGGCAGTTCGACTTTTGGTCATTATGAGTAGGAATTGACATGACAGCACACACAACTGCTTACAGGAAGGAGGTAGTGCTACTAAAACTGTTGGGGAGTGGCCACAGATACTGCTAAGCAGTCTACACTGGCCTTCACAACAAAAAGTCAACCAGCCCAGAAAGAGAACAATGCTGATGAGGCTGAGAAACATCAGTTTACGTCATGCTACTTAGTACAATGGATGTCTGTGGCCATTACACGCCATCACAACGTAGAAAAAAACGCAGCAAAGCACATAAGCATTTTGGTAACAAAGTCTGTTAGGAAAACTTGATAGCGCTCCACAAGCCATCTTTATAGCCTAAGACAGACTGAACCCTGCCACAACAAGGTATTTATCTGATGTGATGGTGTTCATCCCTCCCAAGGGACAACCTGAGATTTAAAACAATAAAAACTACAAATGTCCAACTATAGGCACTGAGATTTAATTTCAAATGAACTGGCAATTTTCAGAAGAATCCTGTGATTCCAATACATTTACAAGTTGAAAATCACTGGTCTAACACCCCAGCCCAGTGTAATTCTAGACATACTTGAGATGCTAATCTAGAAGATTCTGATCAAGATTCTAAGACTGAAACTAGAAGATGCTAGACAGCAACTGTATCCTCTTCTTTTAGGATTTGTAGATAACATCAAGTTATCTTAAAAATTTTCTGCTATTTCATCAGTTTTCTATAAGTTTTGGGTTTGCCCAAAACATACATATAATATAGTAAGAGTTAAAACAAAACCAGGTATAAACAAACCCAAAAAGGAAGTAAAATAAAGAACAAAGATTAATGACATTGAACAGAATCAATTATTTTTTTATACTCCGAAAGACTGAGCTCTAAGGAAAACTGTGTTTCCTAATTCATTATCATCTTCTCTTTATATTCAAAAGTTCAAACGAGTCTACCAGGCTTTAAAAAAAAACAAAAACAAAATGTAAGATTTACATGCATACAATAAAGACCATACCATTACAAACACCTTACAAATGTATACAGAGGCAAAAAAACACAAACTGTTTCATACCTAGTGAAGTCTGGTGGAACAGGAGTGGTGACAAAGGATGCCATGGGTTTTCGATGAACTTGCTGAAACATCATGAGGATCTCCGAGCTCTTAGATATCAATTCACTCTTACTGCAAGACCGCAACTGTGAGAGGAAAAATAATTACCTGCATAAACAATGTGGTTACGAATCAGGCTACAAACTTTAAGGTCAGCAGTTCGAAACTACCAGCCACTTCGCGGGAGAAAGATGAGGCTTTCTACTCCCGTCAAGATTTACAGCCTTGGAAACCCTATACAGGGCTGCTATGGGTCGGAATCGACTCAATGGCACTTAACAACAACTTTAAATTACACTGGTGTGGTGCTGTAGGATAAGCACTGGACTGCTAACCACAAGGTCAATGGTAGAAATCCACCAGTCACTCCTTGAAAACCCATAAAATGATCACGATGGGTATGAACTGACACGAAGGCACTTAAAATGGTAAAAGCTAGAAATCCAATTATGTAAACATTCTTCTCAACGGAGAAAAGACTGAAGTTGTCAAGGACTTCATTTTTCTTTCATCAACTATCAATACTCATGAAAGCAGCAGTCAAGAAATAAAAAGACGTATTACATTAAGTAAATCTGCTGCACAAGACCTTTTTAAAGTGTTGAAGAGCAAATATGTCAGCTTGAAGACTAAGGTGCACCTGACCCAAGCCATGGTATTTTCAATAACCTCATGTGCATGTGAAAGCTGGACAGTGACTAAAGAAGACCATAGAAGAATTGATGCTTTTGAGTTATGGTGTTGGAGAATATTGAAAGTGCCATGGGCTGCCGAAAGAACCAACAGATCTGTGTTGGAAGAAGTGCAGCCAGAGTGCTCCTTGGAGGCCAGGATGGCCAAACTTCGTCTCTAATACTTCAGACATACTGTCAAGAGGGACCAGTCACTGGAGAAGGATATCATGTTTGGTAAGATGGAGAGTCAGAGAAAAAGGGGACAATCCCCAAGCAAGATGGATTGGTAAAGTGGCAGTATCAATGGGCTCGAGTGTGGCAATGATAGTGAGGTTGGCCCAGGATCAGGCAGTGTTTTGTTCTGCTGTGCATAAGGTCGCTATGAGTCCGTACCAACTCGATGGCACCTAACATCAACAAGTTTAAGTTAGGACTACTGATTTTGTGTTTCCAGCCTCCAATTTGAAGTCCTGGTTCTAATAGTTACTGAGTGAACAATTATGGACCTCTTTATGTACAAAATTACAATAATATCTTCTATCAAATCTAGTGTGACACTACAGGATAAGCACTGGACTGCTAACCTTGAGGTTGGCAGTTCAAAGCCACCATCCACTCCCTATTGTGAGTTGCTTAGTCAAAACTGACTTCACAATACTTATCATCTGCTTCACTGAGTGTGTTACAGTGATCAAGAGTTAATGCATGTGAAAGAGCTAAATAAACTTTTTTTTTTTAATGTGAATTATGTGATAGTTTACATGGGAAACCATTAACTTTACATTCATCCTATCGTACATTGTTTCACTGCTATGGTTACCCTCCATGCATCATCAACGAATCAAAGGGTATACCCTACAAGCCTGCCCGCCAGTCGTCAGCACATAGCCCCTCCTCTCCCTCTCTGGGTCTAGAGTTCCCAGCCGCTCCAGCTCTCCACGTCATCATCTCTGCCTCCATCTCTGGCATAACTGTTTTTCTGCGTAGGGTCTCGCACTCAGCGCTTCTCCCTTGATGGTCCCAGGGGACTCTGCTCCTGGCCTGCAAAGTCAACCACTTCCTTCTTTTTGCTACAAAACGTCCACCTTTACATTTCCAACCTTCACAGTCAATCCTGATAACAATTATTCACTACTGTATCACAAGAGACCTATCCCTATCTTCTTTCATCAGCCCCACTCAGACAGATTGGATACTACTCAGTGGAAATTCTACTTTCCTCCGCGCCCTCTGTATCTAGGCTCCCTCTTGAGAGCTTGTAAGCCAGTCACTTCTTGCCTTTGTAGCCCCCCATTTTGGTAGCCAATGTTCAAGCTGCCCATCCCTGTCTACTCTGTGTGTGGAGAGGGTGGGAATGATCCTTGCTGCAAAGATTTGTTCCCTCTTTTGAGCTACTGCATCCATAGGTGTAGGTCTAGTTCATCAAATTGTATCAGATTACTCTTTTTTTCCTCTTCTTTCTTCTTCTAGCTAATGCATTTGAGCTTTTCATTCTGTGTATTAGTCGATTTGTCCTTCCCTATCTAAAAGCCACAGTGTCACAATCACTTTTGCTTCATATCATATCTTGACAAAAGGTATGAAAAGAGCACTGACTGCTGGATTCTATTCCAGACATATGTTGACCTATTTGGGAAGTTTTTGCTCTTTCATATAATTTGGTAATTGTATGCAAATCCAAGAAAACACGTGTGAAAAAAAATCAGTCTAATTAAGAGGCAAAAAGCACTTTATAATATTGAATTTTCTCTGAAATATACCATGTTGTTGTTATTAAGTGCCACTGAGTCAGTTATGACTCATAGAGACCCTATACAAGGTTTTCAAGGAGCGGCTGGTTGAGTTGGAACACCAACCCTGTGGTTCAAACCGACCTTGTGGTCTAGTGCCTTATCGTACAGCCCCATACCAGAAATATACCATACTTCGTAATATGTACTAAGCCATTGATTATTAAACATTTATGTGCCACTAAGAACAAATTACAGATGGCATTGTTAAGATGCATCCCATTTCAGAGACAGCATAATAAAATATACATAGAAGAATCAATGAGGTTCAAGATATTTCTTCATTCAGCTCTTTTTTAATAATGATCTCTACAAACATTTTAAGCATCTTTCATTAGAGTTATTCACAGATAATTTCATGATATTTTTATTGCTATAATGAATGACATTTTATTCCAGTTAAAATTCGAATTTGGCTATTCCTTATGAATACTCACTGCCATGGACTCAGTTCTGACTCAGAATGACCCTGTTTTAGGGTTTCTAAGGCTGTCAGTCTTCATGGAAGTAGAAAGCCTCATCTTTTTTTCTGTGGAGTAGCTGGTGGTTTTGAACTTCCAACCTTGTGGTTCGTAGTCCAATGTTTACCCCATGGGGCTCCTTAATTAACATTCACTTCCATTTTAAAAAGTAAAACAATTAAATGGTGGGCAAAGGAATTTAAACAGACACTACATCAAAGAAGATATATGAATTGCACACCAGTCCAAGAGGATGCTCATCATCAATAGGGGTAAGGGAAATGCAAATAAAAACCGTAATGGGAAAACGACTACAGACCTACAATAACGGCCACAATCCATAGGATAAGTATACAATGTGTTGGCAAGGATCTGGAGGAAGAACTCTCAAAAACTACTAGTGGGAATATAAACTGGTACAATAACTTCAGAAAACAAAGTACAGTTAAAAAATTTAACCAAACATCTACTATTTGACTTAGCCACTCCTGGTGTGGCGCTGTGGGTTAATGTGCCAGACTGCAAAGCCGTTTGAACTGCAAGATTGGTGGTTCAAGCTCACCAGCTACTCCTTGGAAACCCTATTATACAGGATCACTATGGGTCGGAATCGACTCAACGGCACTTAACAACAACAACAACTCCACCTTAGATACCCATGAGAAAACAAAATGCATGAATGTGATTCCTTGTAACAGCTTTATTTATAAATAGCCCAAAACAACAAAAACACAAACACAAATGACCACAACAGGTGAACTCTGGTATATATATACAATGGGATACTCTCAGGAATGAAAAACAGCCCACAAACTATTAATATACATGTTGTTGTTAAGTGCCTTTAAGTTGATTCCGACTCACAGTGACCCTGTATATGGTTTCCAAGGTGTGGCTGGTGAGTGTGAAGCTCTAATGTGTGATTCAGACCAACCCAGCAACAAGGATAAATCTTAAAATCATTTTGCTAGGTTAAAAAAGTTAATCTAAAAAAAATTCACCACTCCTGGGGATCGTTTTTCAGACAAAGGATAATACCCTTGAGGAATGACTTCCCCAGAACAATCAACCAGACCGACCAAAAGGGCAGTATTGTCTTCAAAAAAGTTCAGAAGGTAAGAAATAGCAGGAAAGTAAGACAAATGGAAAAGGGAACCCAGGGAAGAAGTACAAAGAATGCTGTTACATTGAGAGGGTTATAATTACCATCACTAAACAAAAAGTATATAAATTGCTGAATGGGAAGCTAATTTGCTCTGCCAACTTTCACTCATACCACAACTGAATGTCCAAAAAGTTCACACTGTATAATTCTATCTATGTAAAACTTTTAAGAATACAAACTAATCTCTAGTGACAGTAAGTAGACCAGTGGTTAACTGGGAAGGTGAATACAGGAAGGCACAAGAGGATTTACAATGTGGTAAAAGGAAACTGAGGATGCTGCTGTTTGTTATTGTTAATTGCTGTCAAGTTGGGTCCAGTTCATAGCAACCCTGTACAGGGTTTCCGAGGAGTAGCTGGTGGGTTTGAGGATGACTGTTGATTACCTGGACTGGTAGCCACAGTGGGAACAGTATGAACCCACCAGTCAGCAGTTAGAATCCACCAGCTGCTCACAGAAGAAAGATGAGGCTATCTCTACTCCTGTAAAGATTTACAGTTACAAAAACCCAAAGGGGCTGTTCTATTCAGTCCTATAGAGTTTCTATGAGTCTGAATCAACCTCATGGCAGTGGGTTTGTTTGTCTTAACTGTGGTGATAGTTTCAGAGGTGAATTTAACAAAATGTATCTAAATTGTACACTTTAAATATATGCAGCTTATTTAATGTCAAATACACCTAAATCCAGCTGTTAAACACACACACACACACACACACACAGCTACAGATCCCGCCCCTACTCCACGACAGTGGCCCTGTCACTGCAGCAGTTTATTCTCTGGTGGAGAAAATAAAAGTCTCTAAACTAGAGGAACAACATGCATGATTGAGAATGGAGGCACTGGAATTCTGAAAACAAGGGTCTTTACATAAATATTCATACACTAAGTCACACTAGTCACACTGTGTATCAAATGGAAATGGAAATGGAGGAAGTGTGATCTCAAAACAAAGTAGTAAACCAAGAAAGTAGAAGCCATGGGAATCAAGAAGCATAGGACTTTACCAAGAAAAATGGGAAAGGGAACCCTAGGAAGAGGAATAAAAATAGATCACAACAGAAAGCTATATATCAGGCAAGAATTCCAAAAAAACAAATGCAAGACAAGTGAATACATTAAATACATAGGTAACACCATCACCATACATTTTACTTTTTTTACTAAGTGCTTCGTTTCCACCTCAACCTAGAACATGAAGTGTATGAGGACAATCCGCCCCCCCTTTTTATTCACAGTTATATTCCAAATATCTATTGGACTGTATGTTATTTACTTGGCACTTAGTTTGAAAGGGTCATGTTCAGTAAAAATAATTCCATTCTTATAAAGGTTTATGTCATAATAATTTATCTAGTTCCCTAACATGTTGGAGAAAAAAAATCTGACAATCAGCTGATGATGCTTTTTTTCATAATAATTCCCATTATAACTTAATAGAAAATCTGACAAAACAAAATTTAAGGGAACTAGGCAGTACTGGATGAAGACTTTGTTTCATTTTATATTTGATATTTGATCACCTGATGCTCCACCTCCTGAAGTAAGGATTCCAGCAGTTCAGTTTCTTGTGTTAGAGATGTCTTCTGACCTGTTTAAAAATAGCACAACACCAACACAGGCTCAATTCGGATTTCAGAATTTTAACTTTCACAACATATTCTGTAACAAGGAATCCATTTAAAGTAAATAAAAATCTTTCATTATAACTACCTTAAAGATTTCTCTAGAGCTTTAACAGGTTAAATCTAACATTAGGTATATCAAATTCATCTAAGAAATGTACAGTGACAATATACTTCAAGCAGAAAATTTACTTTTCTAGGTCCTTATTTTGGTTGTGAAATGAACAATTTGGCAAATCCCCAAATCTAGAAGTTAGACTACCACCTGTCTTACTAGTTGGTCGTATTGTGGTGGCTTATATGGTGCTATAATGCTGGAAGCTATGCTACTAGTATTTCACATATGGCAAACAAGTTTCAATGGTGCTTCTAGATGACCACAGAAGAGGAGGAAAGGTCTTGTGATCTACTTCCGAAAATTAGTCAATGACAACCTTATGGATCACAATACAATATTATCCAATAGAGTGCTGGAAAACGAGCTTCCTAAGTTGAAAAGCACTCGAAATACACAGTGGCCACAAAATGGACTAGTGTTTACCAAGGATTGTGAAGATGGCACAGAACCAAGCAAAAGTTCCATTTGGTATAAATGAGGTCATCATGAGCCGGAGTCATCTCAAGAGCAACTAACAAAGCGCTGGAAACACGTAACATTAGGCGAACAGAAATTATACCGACTGGTTTTTTAGTGCCAGTGAGTAAGTTCTAACCCATAGCGAACCTGTATAGGGTTTCCTAGGAGCAGCTGGTGAGCGTGAACTGTTGACCTTGCAGCTCAAACCAACTTTGCAGTCCAGCGCATTAATCAGCAGTACCACACCAGGAGTCCTATATTGACTTAGAGTAAAGGAATTTGACACAGAGGGGTAGCTAATAGGTAGAATTTTATTTTTAATACCAAAATGAGAAGCTCTTGGTAACTTAAAAATACATGACAGTCAAAACAAATGACCATTTGGGATCTATTACCACCAAAGGTGGCTTTTACCACCATCCCATCCCACAGTCTTAAGGAAATATTACATCCTGTACATGACTTGACTTAAAAATCACTGGTAAAAAACCATAGAATCAATAAAAGTCAGAAATTCTTCATAGTAGTAAATGAGCTGAAAATGAGATAAGATTCCTGGTGTGGCTCCAGAGGATAAGCAATGGACTGTTATCCACAAAGTTGGCAGTTCACACCCACCACTACTCCTCAGGAGAAAGAAGAGGCTTTCTGATCCCGTAAAGAGTTACAGCCTCAGAAACCCTACACAGGACTGCTATGAGTCAGAATCAATTTGATGGCAGTGGGTTTGGTTTGGTGGGTATCAGGGTAAAATAAATTACTTTAACTTCTAATAATAGAAAATAATAGAAAAACACAAGTCAGGAGAGTTAAGTTACTGGCAAGGGAAGTTACTGGAGATCTGAATGGTTGTCTTAATTTGACTTCTGGCTGACCAAATTAAATATAAAACATAAATGAAACAAGCAAATTCATCCTAGAAAAGCAAGGATACACAAATGCTAATGTTTGTGTCTCTGCCAACTATTTAAGACCAAAAACAGAGAAAAAGCCCTCAATTAAAAAAATCCAATACTCTATGTGGCTAAATGAACTTACTGTATTCTCAAACAGAATTTACAGCAGTGAAAAAATAAGATCATTTACAAATATGACTGATTACAACTAAGAATAATTATGATTTCCATTTATGTGAAATCAACTACACAGTAGTGTGACTGGCATATTCAATACTGACAGATTTAATTGCTCCACTGTGCAGATGTACTTAAACTGTTCAATCTAATTAAGACATTTACCACCCTTTGATGCTGAATCTGTGAACAAAAACTAAAATTCAGATAATGCAGATTTATACTATAAAAACGATTAGTGAAAAAATAACCAAGTACTAAAATAACTGCATCTTATCAAAGTTAAAAATAAAATGGATAAAATGGTATTTTGGATTGTACAAGACACGGGTAAAACCTTGGAAAAATCAAAACATGAAATTTTAGAAATCCTTTGTTCACAACTCTATTAAAGTATATCTATTTCATGTTAGGATGGTACAGTGGCTCAATAGGATAAGTACTGGAATGTGAACAACAGGTCAGCAGTATGAGCCCACCAGCCACTCCATGGGAGGAAGTTGAGGTTTTCTTCTCCCATGAAGATTTAGTCTCAGAAACCCAATTCGAGGTTACTATTGTAGGACCAAAGAGAAGAATCTATTTTGTATATAAGCTTTAGCACGTCTTCTAGCTCCAAGAAAATGATATATATAAATAGCCAGTCAGCTCAAGGCCAGATGCCAGATGTTTTCCTTTGCCCTAGCATAAGAACAAACACCACCAGTACTGACCAATTAAATTGTAACATCTTATAGTTTGCCAATTGCTAACCAATCCAAAAATTGTAAAGCTGAGAAACCCGAGCTTGTTTGAAAACTCTATAAAAATCCCGCAGACAAAGGGTTCGGGGCTCCATCCCTAATCTGCTGCGTCGGATGCAGGTGGAGTCCAAGCTCGAGCTTGAATAAACATCAGCGTCGGCTCCTTGGTGGTCTTTGGGGATCCCGAATTCTGGGCATAACAACTATGAGTCGGAATGGACTCAACAGCATGTAACAATTTCATGTTGGACTAAAATAAATATTGTAAAGCTGGTTTTATAGATACACACAACTATCCTTCCATTAAATTTAATACTGATCAGAAATTCACTTAAATCCTTGTTCAATTCTAGTCTATACAGTCAAAGAATGAAGAATCTTTGAAGAAACAAAAGGGTAAGCACTGAATAGCATTAAAAGATTAAAAATAAGATCTACCAGAAAACAAAGAACCAAGACCTTAAATCTCTTAGAAAGAATGGTGGTGGTTATATGCTGTGTAGTCGGTTCCGACTCATAGTGACCCTATACAGGGTTTCCGAGGCTGTAAATCTTTACAAGAGCAGAAACCCTCATCTTTCTATCTTTCTCCCGTGAATCAGCTGGTAGTTTTGAACTACTGACCTTGAGGTTCACAGCCCGATTCGTGATCACTACCCTATGAATTCCTTGATTTTGCTAGTATTTCAAAATGCCAGTTCTTTACCATTAGTGAAAACTAAGTGAAAAAAAAAAAGGGGGGGGGGGAAACATAAAAGAAATTTTTTATATAGAATTGAAAAAAATGCTCTACATAACAATGAGGTCCACTAGCCATCACTTAAATCACAATAAAAAGTTAAAAATGGCTATGAAGTTCTTTCTTTCCAACTGTTTCTAAGTACAGGCTATATACTAGCCCAGTTAGCAAATATCTCAAGATTCTGTCCTAGCCTTTAACAACCCACTAATCTTTACCTGTCAAAGACTGAACCTCAAGGAAACTCATAGCACCATGTATCCCAGCAGTCTATCAACACTCACCCATTAGTGTTATAAGCTTGTTCTTCAGTTGTGTGTCTAACCGTGCAATCATCATCTCAACTGCATTCCTAATTTCCCGAACACGCTCATCTTTTGCATTTCTTACAGCCTCTACGTTTCTTTCCTAGAAGATAATCAGGTAAAAATAATTTTAACTTTAGAATTTAAAAAACAGACACAAATAGACATTAATGTAAGCATTATAATTATTCTTAAGTCAGTTGGCTTCATTTCCTCTTTAAAAGATGAAATATTATAAGTAATCCAGTCAAGAGACAAAGAGGAGCAGAATGGCTAAGAAAACAAGAATTTTCAATATGTTGTCTATAAGGAACACATCAAAAAAGATGAAGCGAGCCTAAATGCCCATCAACAGAAGGACGGTTAAACAAACTCTGGTACATACTCAATATGAAATACTATACAACATTTAAGAGTAACAATGAATCTGAAAAACATTCCAAAACATGGATGAACCTGAAGGACATTACCACAATGTCAAAATCACAAAAGGACAAATTTTGCATGAGACCATTGTTATAAAGTTTAGAGGTAAACACTGTTAAATGATAGTACATGGAGGCGATTGTAATCAGTGTAATGAAGCAAAGTACATGATTTGTTGAATGTAAATCTGATGAGCTGCTCTGTAAACAATCTAGTTCACAATAAAAAATAAAAACAAAAAGCCCTAACCCACTGCTTTAAAAAATTCTGAGCAATGAACAGAATCAGAAGAAAAAAATCCTTAAAAATCAACAATTAAAACAGAATAAAATATATGGTCTTTTTTCAGGTCACCAAAAAAGTCTGTAATTTTAAAATATTGGTTTAGGTTAATAGAGACATACTAAAAACATCACAGTATATTAAATTTATTTCATATTCTCAAAACCCTAAAATAAATGAATTTTTGTAAAAGAAAACTAGTATCTACTATAGTTTACAAAGTTATATTTTTGTTTATTTATTTATTTATTGTGAATTGAATGAAGGTTTACAGACAAGATCCTCAGTCTTACACTCAATAAATCCTGTTTTGTTTCATCTCAGTGATTGCAATCCCCTCCATTCAGTAACAATTGTTCTGCTTATTCCCTGTGGTTACCCATGTGCAAATATCCTCTTGCATTCTTTTTGCTTTTCAAAACTAAACACACACAAAAAAGTGTAGTGTACACAGACTTTACACTGGCATGCCATACAGGAAAAAAAGACAAGCTTCCCTACACTTACTATTAAGTAAACATAAGCAGTGAAAACCTCAATTCGCACCCTCCCTTTTGGGCAAACAAAAGGAAATAATAGAAAAAAAAAAAAAAAAATGCCAAGAGATTATAATAGGAAAAAAAGTTGTTAAATGAAAACCAAATAGAAGTCATCAACTAGCAAATGGTTTGTATTCCAAAATGATTCTGTAGTTTCACATTCAAAACTCAAAACACTCTTATCTGTGTAAACAGTGTTACAAATAATGATTTACAACTTGACTTCTGAAAGGATAAAACAAGGATCATATCTGTTCTTAAGTTAGCAATGATCTGCTATAACACTCATTCTGGCAACTTCAAACAGACTGTATTCTGAAAAGGCTTCAATTGCTTTTCTGTAAACCAGGAATCTGGGTACAAATTCCTCAGCTAATCTGAAATTAGTAAAATACTGTGTGACTATAGACATATCCTATTAAACTTTCAAATCTTGAAGATCTTGATTTAAGTATCTGACTAATTTTTATTATAGAATATATGTCATTATATATTTTAGAATATAAAAGGGATGACCTTTTCTCAACAGTCTTACCACTTCTTGAACTAAGCTGATCAATTCCATGAGACGCCGACGGAGTTTGGCTACCTCTTCATTCACTTTTGTGACATGCTGCTCATAAATTTCTGCCAAAGGTTTAAAGGTATGTCCACCATGCTATTTAAATTAACAAGAGTAATTTTAGAACATTTTCAAATACCTCATCTGCATTTATATTCTATGTATAACTTGCTATGGACACTAATAAACTAGTAAATATCTTTTTGGTTGCCATTATTTTGTTAAAACTTGCTTAAAATCACTTGGTCCGTGTAAGAATTCCTTAAAATTTTAGTAAACAAAACATTCTAACTTATCCATAAACCTTCATTCGTTACAAAGAAAATATAATGACAAAATTCTTGACCATCATTCAAGCCATCTGCCATTCTTTACTTGGCCAACACCAGTCTTCTTGCATGTTCTTAAACTTTTCCCATCTGGCCTTTGAAAAAGTTGCTTCTTCACTCAAAAATGATTTATCTTCCTCTTCCTCTTGCCTCCCCTCACTCTTAACTCTTCTACGTCCTTTGGAACTTATCTCAGGCTTATATGGTCAAGGACCCATGGTCATTCACTCTCATTACAGCAACAATTTTATATATAATTAGATTTTTGATATCTGTCTTGTTCATCACTAAATCCCCAGTGTCTACCACAGGTGAATGCATGTGTAAACCATTTGAGGAAAAGACCCAGGGTACATAATTAGCAAAAGCAATGAACCCCATTTCTCATGACACAAATTACTCTAGAGATATTAGAAACTCTATAAAAATGAGTATCACATATCTCGGGGTGTTCACAGAAAACAGATTTAGAGCTATCAACCTAAAAATAGTTTCGTATTCAATTGGTAAATAGTACTATTCATTTTCTATTTTATGAGATGTCTTGTAACAAATATGTTCTCATTTTGTTTGTCATATTCACTTAAAGTGCCTTGCTTTATTGTCTAAGAAATTACTGGAAAAAAGTAGATTATTGTGTGTTCACTTTAAGTGGATTAAAAAAAAAAAAATGTATTGCCTCTTACAAAAATCTATTTAAATACTAAATTATGGAAACTTTTTCTAATTTTTTTTATAGTTAGCATAAATTCTAACAGAAAAATTATCTTAACTGATCTCTACTCAATCAATCTTTCCATCATTTCTCTGTAAAATATACTGACTGATTCTCAAAGAATGATCAATTCTCATGGCTAATGGATAACCCCGAAGTCTACTCACTTCTGCTCCCACTATGACTTACTTTCCTACCAAGAATCTGTGTGTCTACTCTGTTATTATTGTAACCATTATTTTGTTTAAGTATTAAATAAACAATGAGACATAACTGTGAAATTTTTAAATTGCTTCCTATGCAAATTAATTTGAATGTCTTAACATTCATAGAGGTAGGATGTGTCAAAAAAGTTTTAAGCACCTATATTAGAATGGGAAAAAAAACTAAAACATAAAGTGTTTAGCAACTGTCTAAGTCCCTGCTCCATTTTAAAGAAGTCAAAATGGTAACTGGTAGCTAGTTTATCAAATCAACTGATACTTACTCAAAGAAAAGATCTTGTTCCTACAGCAAATGAATACACCCTTTATAGGTTTTAGATTAAATAAAAACTATTTATATAAGGGGTGAATATCCTACATCAAACCCCCTCCAAAGAGGTTCTCCTAGAATACAGGTGTGAGACCTTTAAAGTGTCTAAGAGGCACAAGCACTGAAATTTTATTATATATTCAGAGTAAAAGATATTATTTTATTTCCTACCTAAATCACAAAAATGATTTCACCCTGTAATAAACTTTAAATATGAAACCAAAAATACTCCTAAGTCTTTAAATCAAACAGTAATTTAGCTTGCCTTGTAAAGAATGTCTCTGTCTTGAGCATTTAAGAACTATCTATGTGGGATCAAAGTGACACTAGCAAGTCAGGACAGGAGATATAGGGAGCTCTGAATTGATGTTAAGTGAGTAGAAAAGGAGGACAGCAATGGTCACAAACTTGTACTGTTTATATATAAACTGCTGAATGGATGTATGTTCTTTTATGTATATTTACAACAATAACAAAAAAGTAAGTTATAAAAAAAATTTGGGGGGGATTTTCTAATTTCTAACTTAAATAAAAAATTGCATTTGTACTGCTCACCATTCCTCCCCAAAGTGCACACTGATGGCAGATACACTTCTTACAAGTCCAGCAAAACACACTAAGTTTTTCATGGTGGTTTTCACATCTGTATATTTTGAGAGGGGAAAAAAGTGGTAAATTCAATTATTTAAAAATTGGAACACACGGAACACAAATTCCTAAGTTTGGGCAAACAGGTCAGGCAATTTTAAATAATTATGTCTCAGTAACCATGTAACTGCAAAATTTATTTTATGGATTCTGTGAATTAAGCTAAAGGATTACATGTAGATAAATCTTTATATGAGTTGGAACTGACTCGACAGCACGCAACAACATAAACTTTATAATCACATACAAAATACAGACTAATAGTGCATCATCTGTGGATAACGACAACTGCAGCATTTTGAGCAAGTACTTAATAAGATTATGAATCTATACCCACATGATCATGTGTGCATGTATAAATACTCCACCTACATGTAATAGTAACAATAAATAAGAGACATGGATGCGATTAATCATATAATGTAATACAATATCCTCACAGAAAATGAACAATTTCAAAAAAAAGAATTTTCTCTTGCTTGTAAAACAGATATTGTTGCATTTTTAAAAAAGTATTTCACTAATAGACAGTGAACATCAAGAAAAACCAGGATAGGTTTTCTACATTTCACTGATAAATTTAGGAGAAAGATAAGGCTATCTGCTTCCGTAAAGATCTATAGCCTTGGAAACCCTGTATAGGGTCGCTGTAGAGTTGGAATCCCCTCAATGACAATAGATTATTAATAAGTAATATGAGCATCAAATCAAAAATAAAAGTTAGAAAACATCTAGAATCTCTACTAGCATCATTTCCAAACTACCAAATCTAGAATATTATTGTTGTTATTAAGTGGCATCAAGTCAGTTCTGACTCACAACTACCCTGTATAGGGGTTTCTGAGGAGCAGCTGGTAAATTTGAACCACAGAACTTGCAGTTCAAACCAACCTTGAAGTCTAGTGCTCAACTTCCAGCGCCACATCTTTACTCTAACTTAGAATATAACTTTTACAATACAAGAAATTTGCCAGAATAATTCTTAATCAGTTGCCTATATATAAGCACCTTCAACAAACCTAAGGAGGGCCAGTAGGCCCTGAGAGTCAACGAAGGAATTAACAGATTAGTTTAGCAAACTGGCAAATTAAGTAGACCTTAATAAAAGTTCTAGTAGAAGACAATCAATCAAGAGTGAAAGGTTCTATCCCAACAGTAACATGCACCACCTCAGAAGTGATGAAAATTGTCTTAAATTAAATGTTCCTCTATGTTATTACATGTGGGAGTGAGGGTGGGGGAAGGGAAGCTAAGTAAATAATTCTTTTTATTGAGATGTCCATTAAGCTGGAAGAAATAACAAAAATCTTCGAAAGTTCCATTTAACTAGAATAACCCACCCAAACCCACTGCCATCGAGTTGATTTCAACTCACAGTAACCCTACAAGGCAGAGTAGAAGGCCTGTTCTGCAGAGTTTCCAAGACTGTAAATCTTTACTGGAACAGATATCTTTCTCCTGCAGAGTAGTTGGTGGGTTTGAACCATCAACCTTGCAGTTAGGAGCCCAATGCTTTAACCCACAGTGCCACCAAAGCTCCTTTTAATTAGAACTAAATATTTTTTAAAACCCCACTGCCAACTAATTGATTCTGACTCACAGCAACCCTACTACTTAGGGTTTCTGAGGCTAAATCTTTATGGGAGCAGACAAGCTCATCTTTCTCCTGAGGAACCACTAATAGGTTTGAACCACTGACTTTGTGGTTAGCAGTCCAGTGTTTATCCTACAAAGCCACCAAGACTCCTTTTTAACTAGAATTGTTGTTGTTGTTAAGTGCTATCAAGTCAGTTCCGACCCATAGTGACCTGGAACAGGGTCTCCGAGGCTGTAAATCTTTACAGGAGCAGAAAGCCTCATCTTTCTCCCATGGAGCAGCTGGTAGTTTCGAACTGCTGACCTTGCAGTTCGCAGCCCAATTCATAACCACCACCACCACGAGCTCCTTTTTAACTAGAATAGTAAGTAATAAAAACAACACTGGCTTTTCTTTCTAGCTCTGGATTATCATAATATATTATCAGGGTTAAGGATTACGAATCGGACTGCTAACATCAGGGTCAGCAGTTCGAAACTAGCAGCTGTTTCATGGGCGAAAGATGAGGCTTCTGCTCCCATAAAGATTTACAGCCTCAGAAACCCTGTACAGGGACACTATGAGTTGGAACCGACTCCACAGCACATAACAACAACAACTTCCTCACTATAATGAACAGAAATATTCTAGATAGTTTCTGGTGTCCCTTGAAGTTCTACATCATTGCTTTAACATGCTTGTAAATATGCAGAAAGTGGTATGGTTTAATTTCTAAGCATTTCAGGAACCTAGAATTTCTTCTAATGCATTTTCTTCTTGCCAGAGAGTAAAGCCTTATAAATAACTACACTGTCGTTTCTTTACCTGCCATTCTACCACATCTTCCCTTTTACTTGCATCTCAAAACTACCCTCTAGATATTACTAAAATACTTCAATTGTGCCATTCCATCAAAGAGTCTTATCCCATGGCAATCTTCACCAAAGTCCTAGCACACTATATTGTCTGTCGTATGTTCCCCCCATTAAACTGTTAAGCAGAAACTATGTCTCATTTGCCTTTGTACCCCATAATCTAGCACAGGAGAAGGGGACACGGATGTGGGGAGAGGGGCAATAAACAAATGTTTGATGAATAAACAACATAAAAAGAATCAACAATCTTAAATTGTTACCCAAAAGAAACATAAGACAAATAGAATTTTTAAATTAAGAAATATTGTATTGTTCATATTTACAAATAAGTACAAAGAACTACCAATATAGTATCATTAAAGTAACACATGGCAGGCACTTAGTGGCAAGATCTAGAGTGCTTTAACAGGGAAATTGAGAGCATACTTGTCCTTTTCATTTTCTTCATGTTTGGTGAGACTGCAGAGTTGAAGGGTATCAAGCTGTTGAGTTACTTCTTCTGCCCAACGACAGTTTACCAGTTCTCGTAGCTGAAGAGGTGCACTGGGAGGGAAATACATACACATACTCTAAATCAACAGTTTGAGATTATTGTTCTAAAACACAACCTTCAAAATAGAGCTCACTACCACACTCATACTACATTACTATTAAAATAATTGCAAACACCCAATGAAAGCACGCTTTGTAACTTATTTACATCTTAAAAACAAAACATCCCTGCCAATTCAGATTACAGATTCAATCCTCAACTTAGTCTCAAATTGTACTGATTAATATAGTTACCAATAGCCACATTGTGACTATTTAAAGTGAAATTCAAATTAATTAATATTAAATAAAAGACAATTTGTTCTTCAACCACTCTAGACACATTTCATGTGCTACTGGATAGAGCAGATATATACACTATCTCCATCTTCACCAAAGGTCTATTTGACGGCAATGAATTTAGAAATCTATATTAAAAAAAAGGTAGAAAATACTCAAAATTAAAATGTGCAAAAGATGTGAAGAGTTATTTAAGGTAAACGAAGTATGTAGTGAGTAACTGCTATTATGACTAATTGTGACTGTCACAACTGTAAAGGTAGAAGATGTGTAACAAAAAGCGGGGAGTAGTTAATCTTTCATTCCAGGAACAGTGGACCCTGGGGCCATTAAGAGGAAAGAGCATCAGCGAAGTGTGGGATTCTAACCAGAGAAGCAGTGACACCAGAGACTGGAAGCAGAGGTGATGGCACAGAGAGACAGAGCAGCTGAGGACTCTACACCCATGGAATAAGAAAGGCTGGCTGGACCCATGGAAAAAGGAAGGCAGGAAGCTGGCCTGCAAAACGTATCCTTTGGTCTTTTAAACAAATATATTTTTTCTATGTATGTTGTGCATATAAAACAAAGAAAGAATAAAGGTAAATAGTGTTAACTGATGGTGTTAACTATGGAGGGGATTGTAATCATTGCCATGAAACAAAAGTATGACCGGTTGAGTGAAAAAAAAAAAAAAAGGAAGAAGTATGAAGATGTTAAAATTACCAAACTGTAAAACTCAAAAGACAAAGTTTTGCTGTGATTTCAATTCATGTTTAAACACATACTAAAATATATCATTTTTTAACTTGGCAAAATGACCAAAAACTTAAAGAGAGTATCTAGCATAGGCAAAAGGTGACACTTAACAGCATAACAACAAAAAGGAAAAGGTGCTAACATATATTGATATAAAATGGTAGCGACCTTTCTTCAGGCAATCCAGCATCATTATTTAAAATGACTAAAGTGGCAACACTATAAATGTCTCTCAATATAGGTATAAATGTATCATGTTACAAGGAGCCTTGGCGGTACTGTAGAATAAGCACTGGACTGGTCATCACAAGGATGCCAGTTCACATACACCAGCCACTCCATAGAGGGAAGATAAGGGATTCTGTTCCCACAAAGATTTACTGCCTCAGAAACCCCATACAGGGTTCACTGTGAGTCGGAATCAACTGGATAGCAGTGGGCTTCAGATCATGATGCATTAATAAAGTAGAATAATAATAATAAATGACATATATGTACGGTAGCATAGTGGTTACAAATCGGGCTGCTAATCTCACAGTCAGCAGTTCGAAACTACCAGCTGTTTTGCAAGAGAAAGATGAGGCTTTCTGCTCCGGTAAAGATTTACAGCCTCAGAAACCCTGTATAGGGTTGTTAGGAGTTGGAACCAACTCCACGGCACATACCAACAACAACAACAACATGTACATACCAATCAAGGAAAGATTTCCTCCATATTTTACAGGAAAGAAACAAACTACAAAACATTATTGTATCATTTGTGTGTTTTAAGAAAAAGAATGAATGTGTGACGATACATAATAGTATTATGCACAGAAAAATGTCTGGAAATGTAGATAGCAAACCTAACAATTTCTGCTGAAAATAGTGTGTCATAAAAAGATTGGGTAGAGAATACCAGAGTCAGACTTTACTTTTTACTCTACTGTCTGGATTTCCTAAATAGAGGCATTTTGCACTATAGTTATTATAAAAGGTAAGCTAAGAAGTTACACAGTGATTTTCTAGAAGAAGGCAGGAGTCCTACATATCAAACAATGCTTATGCATTCTACATAATTCTAAATACAGATAATTAGTCTGTGTTTCCTAATTCAGGCTGATTGCTTATTTCTTCCCCAGTGTTTATGAAGAGAATGTGGCAGACTGCAGAAAGAACCTGCTGTCTTTATGGATTCTAGGTCACACTCTGATCCAAAGACTATATTTTACAAATAATGATAGCAAAACACCTACCGGCAATGAGGACATTGTGCTCTCTGCTCTGTCAACCAGCGCTATGGAGGCAAAAAAATCGATTTTCATTTTTAAAACACATTAACTTATAAATATTAAATGTGAATGTATAAAGTTTAATTGTTTCAACTACCCTCCTGCTCCCGTAAAGATTTACAGCCTCGGAAACCCTGTGTAGGTCGCTATGAGTCGGAACCGACTCCACGGCACACAACAACAACAACAACAACCCTCCAAGTTAAAGAATTAAATTCAACAAGACTTAATGTTAATGATCCCTTATTATTATACATCACCTTGAGTTTTTAATTTATTTTTACTTTGTTGAGTATACACAGTAAAACTTACACCAAGTCAACAAGTGTACAAGTCAGTGATAATGACTGCATTTTCCAAGTTATGCAAGCATTCTCATGCTTCGTTTCTGAGTTGTTTCTCCGTCATCAACATACACTAACTGCCTCTTTACTGTTCCTATCCAATCATTCCAATAGCTTCTGTTAATCTCATCCCATATAGCTATTTCTTAAACGAGCACAATACTCAAAGTAGACATTTTTTACTAGTTAAGCTAAATCCTTACCTGGTTTTAAGAAAATTTCAGGGGGTATTTTTGGTTTAAATTTTAAAGATTATCTCAGGGCAATAATTTCAGAGGTTCATCCAGCTTTCCTGGATCCAAAAAGTCTGGAAACCAAGAGAATTGGAAATTCTGTGCTGCACTTCCCCCCTTTTGATCCAAATCACATTGATGTTTTGTTTCAAACAGATTTCATACACTAAAAATCCAAAGATCAAGTTACTTTAATATTTCTGGTGAGTTTTAAAGTGAATTTAATTCTCTGGTACCTGATTATAGAGCTACTTAAAGAAACAGTAGGCAATCTGCCATCTCCCTTTCATTATCCTCCTGACAGCAACAAACTTCATAAGGAACAGAACTCATACCATAATAAATATTAAGAAACTACTCTATCCACTTCCATGGCTCAATTTTCAGTCACGTAATAGATGGGTGTGTAGTAGGGATAACACTAGAGAGGTATGCACACCATAGAATGGCCAACCATTGGGAATCAAACTGTATCATTTACTTAAGGCAATTCAGAAGGGTGGGGAAAGGAGAAATGGAAACAAGAAACACAGGGAAGAAATGGATAACTGATGCTACATTGAGGAGAATGCAATCACTGAGATGAAACGAAGTGATTTGTTAACTGTAAATCTGATTTGCTCTGTAAACCTTCACTCAATTCACAATAAAAAGTTTTTTAAGTTACTCTCATGTAGTTGGTGTGTGCCATCAAGTCTATTCCAACTCATAGTGACCCTGTAAGACATAGTAAAAATGTCTTAGAGGGTTTCCTACGCTGCCATCTTTAGAGGGTCCCAGATGGTACAGTGGGTAAAGTGTGAGGTCAACTGAAAGATCAGCAGATCAGCAGTTTGAATCCATCAACTACTCCGGATAAAGATGTGGCAATCTTTCATAAAGACTGGCAGAGTTGTAAACCCTGTGGGAGGTTCTCCTCTATCCTTTAGTATTGCTATGAGTTGTAAACCCTGTGGGAGGTTCTCCTCTATCCTTTAGT